ATACGTTCCCTAAGCTTTTCAACAATAACCCTATATGTTAGGTAACATTCATCTAAACAAGTAGCCACTTGCAATCTGTATGCATGCTATCAGACTCCACAATGATTTTTTTTTTTTAATTGTTTTTAAGGGAACGAATCTGTACTATGTTTAAGTAGTTGAATGTGAAGGACAAGTGATTGGGGTCACTCTTCTGCTTGTATCTTTGTTGACGTTTGCATTTTGTGATAAAGACAATTATATTATTAATTTTAGAAGAAAAATTTTATGCAGCAGTGGTCATGCATGCTTACGCGATCAATGGCACACGAACGAAATGGATCATAGATATGGGGCTAAATAAAATGCTAAATAATATACATCTATGACACAGGCAATTTTCTGTATGTCCATTAGCTAATCAATTTTACCTGCCCAGAAAGACACAAACAATTGTGTTTTCTAATCACCTCAATATATACATGACATTTCTATCCTGATCACAAAAGCGAAGGGAGTAGTGGTCTAGTGCAATGGCAGCTTTGAGGCTCGTATTGCCAACAAGAACTATGACTCCTAACGTGATTGCCAGAGGCATCATCAGTGCCTCTAATCAGAATTTTGTCCACGATATGCCCACGATTCAACCAGGTTGCAATTCAGCACCACTTTGGGCTAATGGATGTACTCGGAAATATTTATCATTTCAGATACAAGAGGAGGATGGTGGGGCCTTATAATAAGCAAACTATTAGTGGCATGCGACCCTTCTTTCAAGCGCATGGTTTGCAATCTGGGGATCAAGTTACTATTTATAAGGAGCGCGATGAGGTGAGATTACTTGGCCAAGTTATCCAGCCTGCTCTTTATATTTTTCACTTTCAGAGGGCTTGAGAAGGTTGCATGAGAGCATTCTGAAGGGAAAGTGAAATGACTTTTGTATGAGAGAATAAAGAATCAGGTCAGGTGATTAATGAATTTTCTTTTTTTCTTTTTTTCTTTTTGTTTTTCTTGTGATTGGAGATGAATGAATTTTCTTAATATGATTTTAAATTTCTGATCTTGAAAGAGTTAGCAGGGAAAGTACTGTTTTCCTATTTGTTTTCTGGCATGTTTAATGTACTGTTGTGTACATATGTTCATTGTACTTCAAT